GCAGCTCCCGTCGACCAAGATAGATTGCATTATGGTTCACAAATTGGGATTTGTAAACCGTGATGGAGGTGGGATTATACCCCATGAATATATAGCCTGGCCATGTGGCTTTGCTCTGGCCAGTGACGTGTGAGTGGAAGCAATATGTGTTGCTACTAGGCAGAAGACAGCGTGTGGTTTGTCATGTATTTCTTTCCCTTCTGACCTGATGCCCAGCTATGTTCTAGACAGAATCTGCTCCACAACGGGGCCCTGGAATAGATGCACCGTGGAACTTCTGGCAGGCAAGTTATGTGAATAAGAAGTAAATCTCTATTGTTGCAAGCCTTCGAGCCTCGGAAGATTATTTGGTTCAGGAGATAACAGCCTATCCTGATGGAAACATTCTCTTTCTATTGAATATTATGAGATTAGTGCTCGTATGAACTGACTAGTTATATTGTAGATAACTGGACACTTATCCCTATGATATTGTCATCACTCAAAATATTGTGTACTTCCATTTTGAAAACTGCTTTAAAATTATAAAAGTCCTACTTCTACTGACAACAGCTAATGCTTTGCAAGCATTATCATATTTGATCTTGAAAACAGCCCTGTGAGGTAGGTTCTCTTAACTTCCATTTTCCAGACAAGAGAAACACGATCTCAGAAATGCTCAGTAATGAGTCAAGAACACACAGCTAAGAGGAGGGTCAAGATTTAAATCTGCATTCTTCTCAGGTACAAACCCTAATGTCATTATTTTCTACTCATACTTTCCCCGACAAAATGGATATTAACAGGCTGAGTCACACACCTGACTCATCAGAGATGATTACAGGTATTTTGGCTGCTTATAAAAAATCAAAATAGTTATTGAGTAATGAAAATCACATTGGTCTTGATATTAGAAGCTACCGGGGGGGGGGGGGGGGCGGTTTGTAGCTATTTCTTATAAGTGACCTTGGGCTAGATATTTTTCCCCCTCTGCACCCTGGTATTTTCATCTGTAAAATGGAGCACTTTGCTTCAGACCACATGGTTCACGAATCTGAAGGATGGGGTCCTTCAACCCCCTAAAAATGTATGCAAAACATCGTATGTGTATTTTTTTCTGGGTAGAGGATCCATAATATTCATCAGGTCCTGGAAAAGTTCTGTAACACCCTAAAGATGAGGAACTCGAATTCTCTCCTTTGTTGAGTATGACTTATCCCTTTCCCCAGAAGAAGTGGGTGTAGAAGCAAGGAGAATTCAGGCTGACTAAATCACATTTGAGTCGTATAAGTTGAGTGTCAGTTTTATCAAAGAATAACTGGAAGGCAAGCTGTATCAGTTTAGTAAAAATAATCATTAAAACATGTTTCTGTCTCACATTCCTGTGGCTCCTTGCTGCTTACACTGCACAGAAGCTGTTCTTTTGTCTTCCTGGCCAGGGACTGTGTCATTAGTTGTGGCTATTGGTCATTTCCTGTCTCGCTCAGCCAAATAATCATGTTATTTTGACTGGGATGAGAATGGGTCCAGAGCTGTGAACTTGGTCTCACAGTAACTGTCAGATGCCTTTCCTGGAATGTGGGAGGAAAAGAAAACAGGGCAGGAAAATAACATTCATGGAGTGTCTACACTAACCAGACTCTCTGTTGGCAATTCATTCATCGTGATAAAGTCATGCATGTCTCTTTCCAACCAATGTTTATTGGGTACCTATCATACCTTGGCCACTGTTCTAGGTTCTGGGGATATAAAAGTGAGCAATCAGACAAAAAAGTCCCCACATTCCTGGAATCTATGGTCTGGTGGGAGAGATAAAATATATTAGTAAAAAAATTACTAAACTATATATGTTTCACATATGCTACTTCAGGACAGTATGGCAAGATGTCCTACATAGTATGACCTCAATATTTCAGGTGAGGAAACTACAGATTAGAGACATGAACTAACTCAACCAGTGTCACGTAACAGGTAAAAGGGAATGACTTGAGCTTTCAAAGTTAGATTTTTCTGACTCCCAGATTGTTTTTCCCTCGGAAAGCAGTGGCCATGACCTAAAAGATAGTCTTTCAGCTGTGAGCCTTTGAGTCAAACGTTGCTGAGGCTAATTCCATCCTGATGGAGATCTGAGTTTATACAGAGAAGGCTCACTCCCCTACCCTATTTGTACCCAGTTTGAAAAGTTGGGGGCCATAATTTATTCAAATCAGTTTCTTTCCCCTTCTATCTTTTACTTCTTCTTGGATTCTAATTACACACGTGTTGGATCATGCTTGACATTGTCTCACAGGTCTCTGAGCTTCTGTTTACTTTTCCTCAGTATTTTAAATCTCTGTTGTGTGGATTGGAGAGTTTCTATTGATCTTTATATTACATATTCGCTGGTTGTTTTCTTCATTCTTTATCTGCTCCTTCATTAATACCTTATTTTGAAAATTTGTCGGATAATGACAACATCCTTTCCCATGCAATGACATTTTGTATTGCCTGACTTTTTCTCCTGAGTATGCATTCCTCTTTTCTGTTTCTTTGCACGTGTAGTAATTTTTGGTTGAAAACTGGACATTGTAGATAATACATAATAGTAAATCTGTATTATGTCGTCTTCTGAGGGTTATTGGATGTTTGTTATAGTGAGCACTCGACCTGCCTGGATTCAGAGGTATGTAGCACCTGATACTTTTGCTCTATTCTTTTTTTTTTTGCGGTACGCGGGCCTCTCACTGCTGTGGCCTCTCCCGTTGCGGAGCACAGGCTCCGGACGCGCAGGCTCAGCGGCCATGGCTCACGGACCCAGCCGCTCCGCGGCATGTGGGATCTTCCCGGACCGGGGCACGAACCCGTGTCCCCTGCATTGGCAGGCGGACCCTCAACCACTGCGCCACCAGGGAAGCCCTTTGCTCTATTATTATGGCTTCCCACTGCTGCTCTTTTAGTGTGGCTCTCTGGGGGTCTCCCAGGTGCCCGTGTAAGTTGGTTATTTGCCAAGAATTTGGGCAGCAATGGGACTCACACTTTCAGTAGTTATTTTTTTCTTCTATGATTCTCCCCTACTTTCTAGTTTGTCTGCTAATCTCGGGTTCTATTTCCTGCCATGTCAAGCCCATAAAACTTTAGTTTTCTGCTACCCAAGCTGTGCAAAATTGGGCATACACGGAGTTAAAGAACAAAACAAACCCCTGGAGTTAAAGAACAAAACAAACCCCCGGAGTTAAAGAACAAAACAAACAGATCTCACCCGTTGCAGCTCTACCTTTAGAGTAGGCTTCCTCCTGATCTCTTCACGCTTTTTCCTGGCCCCTCTGAATCTCTTCTGTAAATGCAGAGTTTAGTGTCAGCCAGGGATTTGGGCAGAGATTACACTCAGTATTTGCATCTCATTACTTCTGTGGTTCTCTCATTGCCAGGAATTCCTCTTTCACTTTTCACCTGCTTTCCTAGCCCTATATTCTGATCTCTGGCACCTTGGGTCACAGAGGCTTCGGGTTTTCACAGTTGTAGCCCTGAGGGTTGTGGAGCACCTACGGGTCAGAAACCCACAAATTCCCAATTCTTTCCCCTTACAGTTGTGGTTTTTTCAAAATTAAACTCTTCTCTGGCTTCTGCTTTTGGATGCTTTCCAAAGCCTTTAAATAGTTTTTTTTTGTTGCTGTTTGTTTGTTTTTAAATCGGGTTTTTATAATAGTCATCTACAGGAGGAATCATGTGACCATTCCATTCCTGTGCCATTTCTTCTAATTGGATTTGACTCTGGGAAAAATTTAAGACGTGCAGGGTGGGGTGAAGTGTTTGTCTAGTTCAGACATCTTGCTAGGCTAAGCCCCTTCTTTGGACTTTGGTCTCATTTCGTTTCTCTTTTTCTCCTGTGTAAGTCATAGAGGCTGCGTCCCCAAGTGAAATGCAAGCTCCGGAGGTTAGGGCTCTGTATGCAATTGAGCTGGAGTAGACAAAGAGGCAATAATGATCCTAATCCTTGCCTGCAAGGAGAAGTCAGTCTTACTGGGGCGATGTGTAGATGAGCCTGGAGGAACTTTGATGGTTCAATGCTGAGTAACATGTTGCTGACCATTGTACTATAGAAGTTCAGGTGCCATTTGCTTTGCAACACATTGATTTAGAGATGCAAGTTTGAACGTAATAGAAAACACCTGTATGGTTTCTTTTGCAAACTCAAGTTTATTCAACTCTGTCAACTCTCCTCTTTTGAATCTATGATTGGAATGTATTGTTTTTGCCTATCCAGTACCTACCCTACCTTCTGGTCCAATATCCCAATTTTTCCTTGGGGGACCATCCTGGAATCGTCCACAGGAGTGGTGACTGAGTGGTGTGGGCATGTATTCAGGCTAATTAGAATATCCCCTCCTCTGACTACAATGATTAAAGAATGTAATGTGATCCACGTTGGTCCACTGTGATTCATTCCCTAGACGTTTGTTAGAAACTTAGGGAAAAAGATGTCCTTCATCTGGAATTGATGAGAAGATAGGATATAATCTTTACTAACTTTGCACTACTAATAACTGCAGATAAAAATAAAAAATAAAATAAAAATGTGGACCTGGCCATTTGTCCTTTCAATCCTACTTCTGGAGCTATGGAAGCCACCTTGACATCTCTTGGGAAGAGTCTGCTTCAGAGAAAGCAACACAAGAGAAATTAGACGTGAGAGATGAAATAAGGCATTCATTTGGGTTCCTGAAAGTAGATATGTCTGACCTTTTTTATACCTGAAGTTTATACCTAAACTTTTTAGTTACCTGAGCCCATAAATTCCTTTTATGCCTATGCCAATTTGAGTTGAGTTTCTGTCACTTATAACCCAAGGAGCCCTGACTAAATAATAATAATTTGTTGTCACTTTAAGCCTCTACGAGATAAGATTAGAACTGATGGGCTTCATGATTACAGTGGGTTTAATAGTGTCCCCTTAAAATTTATGTCAGCCTGGACCCTCAGAATGTGAGCTTATTTTGAAATAAGCTCGAGGTCTCTAAATTCAATGGCTGCTGTCCTTACAGGAAGAGGTGAGAACACACAGAGACACAGAATAGATGAAGATGGAAACAGAGATTGGAGTGGTGCACCTATAAAGACAAGGAAGTGAAGGATTGCCAGGAGCCACCAGAACTTGGAAGAGGCAAGGACGGATCCTCCACTAGACCCTTCAAAGGGAGCAGGGCCCTGCCAACACCTTGACTTCAAACTTCTGGACTGCAGACTGTGATGGTATAAATTTCTGTTATTTTAAGCCACTCTATTTGTAGTAATTTGTTATGACAGCCCTAGGAAATTAATGCAATGATCTAACTCCTGCTTCTTTTTCCAACCTCATTGTAGAGACAGCAGATAATAGTACAGACCCTGACACTGGGCTTTCCGGATTCTACTTCTGGCCTTTTCACTTTAACCTTTCTGAGTCTCCGTTTTCTAAGGGAGCTAATGACAATAATAATTCACTTCTTAAGTTTGTTGTGAGAATAAAATGAGTCATATTTAAAGGCATTTAAGACAGCTTTTGACACAAATGATACACTCAGGAAATGATGGTGGTTGTTATTATTATTATTTTGTATTTACATTACCATCACCACTGTCTCCTGTGAAGTTCCCACAAGCGCTGCTTATTCCAACTATAGGAAACTGTCTGTACTTCCGCAAATGAAACTGAGGCCGGGAGAGTTTAAGGAACTTCCTGCCCATGATCGAACAGCTCCCTTGTGTCAGATTTGGAATTCAAATCCTGGTCGGCCTGCATCCATGCCAGGCGCTATGGGTCATTCCAGAGTAAGAGTAGTGAGTGGCATAGAAGGACCCCTGTATCTCCCTCTCTTTCCCTTTATCCTGAGCCCTCTCCTCTAGCTCTGTCAAGACTTTTGATACCGTTCAGTTAAGACTGTTGTCTTGGGTGATGGTGTGCACTCTGAAAGGGATTGTGACTCTTTCTGAGGCTGACTGGAGTTTTCTTCTCGAGGATAATAGGCCCCTCTTCCTGTCTCTAAAATCGTTAAATAGCTTTGTTTTTTGGAGGTGGGGGGGAACTTAGAAATCTCATTACTCCCATTTGTGCTATTTGCAATCAGTCAAGACATGCCCTAAAAGCACATTTTATATGCTCAGAAAGAGACAGACTGGGAAGGAAGCGTCGTAAACCTGAAGCAGACATTTCTGATAAAAGCCTGCAGAAAACACAGTCTTATTTACCTCAGTGTTCTGCAAACTTTGCTATGGAAACGTTGTATTGATTCTGTCTCCGTCTCTGTCAACATGGTTACCCTTTGGGTCAATACATCCTGATTATCTATTGCAGGACAGTTTGGAATGAAGAAATGGGTTTCTGATGTTTCTACCCAAGTTTTCTTTGTGTTAAGGTAATTTTTTTGACACTCTGCCAAAACCCCAGAGAGGAGCTACCAGCATCTCTCTCTCTGTCTCCCCCCCCCACACACACTCACATACACACACACACACAGACACACACACAGACACACACACACAGACACATACACACACACAGAGACACATACACACACACATATGCACACACGCACAGACACATACACACACACACATAGGCTGATCTATTTATCTATCTATGTTGATATCTATATTTACCTGTTTATAGATAAATATACTTATTTATCTATAGATAAGTATCAGAATATATAGAGATATAGATACAGATGTGCATACATATACAAATATATAAATAAATTATATAAATACAAATTACATTATATAAATGAACATACATATTCATATGGATAAATGTACCTATAATATTTCAATATTTAAGTATAATTTGTATATGTATTAAAGCTCCCATCTCTCTCATCATAGGTGTTTTCCTTCGTGCCTTCCTTCTGCCTGGCTCTCTCCTCTATGGCTCTGTTTCTCTTCTCGTGTCTCCATGGTTCTTGCAGTGCCTTCAGTTTACCCAGTTCTCTCGTCTGCATTTCTCCATTTTTATCTCAGTCCTCTTTATCTCTCAATAAAACTGCCATTGTCTATCTGTCAGGAGAAAATAATTTTTTCCCCTAAGTCTGGGAAGAATTGCCAATCCCATTAGCTTTCCCTCCTTCCTAAGTTGTTATGTGTGTATCAAGAAGTCGTTTTAATTTTTTCTCTCCTCCTGCCCATTGCCCATCCTGTTACAACAAGTTTTATTCCGTGAGACTCTAGAGCAGGGGCCGCAAACGTTTCCTGTAAAGGACCAGATTGTACTTATTTTAGACTTTGCAAGTCATATTGTCTCTGTCACTGTTACTGGTCTTGCCACTGTTGCGTGCAAGACCACGTGTAAACGGACAGTGTGTACAACTTTGTTTACAAAGATAAAGTAGTTTGCCAACCCCTATTCTAGAATACCCGCTGTGGGAGATGGGGCACCTCCTGATGTAGCTCTGATTTTCTCCCTTGCTCTCACCCTTGTGGTGTGGTTGCCCAAGATGACACAGAAAGAGCAGAGCCAGGATTGGAATGCACTGCCTGAACCCCAGCTTATGCTTATTTCCACTTCACCACACTTTTCTGAAGAATACAATTATGATCTGCTCAGGCAGAGAGTGGAAGTCCTTCTCCTTTGTCAAAAACCTTTAATGGTTCCTCATCGCACACTTGAGAAGGAGTCGTTCCCTAAGCCTGGCATCCAAGTCCACCAAAGCAGGAATCCATCGTCCTCCTTTGAGTGTCTGGCCCATTGTGCTTTACCTAAAATTTCTGCTGCATCCATCCATATTTGCTGACTCGCTCTCCTCTAAGCATCTCAGGTGCATTTCCATTGCTGTTCCCAGCTCTGTATGGCTCCCCTCGATGGAACTCCTTTTTATTTTCCTACCCACTTATATATGTCTTTCTCTTTCCTGATGTCTGTGCATCAATCCAGGAAAAGATGCTAATTGTCCCCATTCAGTCACACAACCACCACTGGGCAAGTCTTTATTGCAGTGGGATTGGTTTTTGTGATGGGGCTCCTTGTATCCACTCCTGAGCCTGGGGATTGGGGTGGGCTACTCTGATTGAAGTTATATTAGGACCATTTGCAACAGAGGAGGGGAAGGTCCTCCAAGGTTGCAGAGGTCTTGGGCAGACCAAAGCAGCGTATATCCACTACACAGATGCCTATAAGTGTTCTTAAGACATAGCTTTGATTGTGCCGCTTCCCTGCTGCAAGAAATAAAAGGGATCAATGCTTCAGCATGGCTATCAAGGTCTGGGGTCATGAGGCTCCAGCACTGTGGATGTAGGACCTTCCTGGAAGAGCTGGTTGGGTCACTGAGTACTTGAGGCCAAGGTCCTTGTGCTCCCAAACGCTGTCTTTACATGACTATCAAACTGGACTTTGTAGAAAGCACCAGTCATGTTCCAGCTTCCTTCTTATTTGTTTCTGATATTCTCTCTTTCTGGAATGATCTCTTCTCACTCCTCTGAACCCTCATGGAAGAAGTGCTTTACTTAAGATGCATTCTGATCATTTTCTGAAGTCTTTCCTCATGTCCCTCTGCTCGAATCTTCACAGCCTCCAATTTATGTTGATCTTTATTTTGTGCACTTGTATCCTCTCCTCTAGGATAACACTGAGTAAGCTGAGTGCAGGGGTTCCTTTTGCTGATATATTTTTGTATCCTCTCTTGTTCATAGAATGTTCCTTTCACATAGAAGACACAGTTAGTATTTGCTGGATTGAGCTTAATTGAACCGAATTGAACATTCTACAGTCTGTGTCATTCATTTAGTATTTACATTTGTAACTTCTATTGTTAATTACTTATTTAGGCGTATTCTTCTAAGTTGTATCACCACTGCCTAGGTCATCACAAGATGTATTATTCAATGGGCTAAGTGCTGACTGTGCGCCTGCTCTGTGCCAGGCACCATGGTAATTGCTGTGACCACAGCAGAGAACATGGCAGGTCCGGTCGCTGCCTCTGTAGAGCTTCTAGTCTGGAGTTAGACAATAAAATGTGTACCTGTGGAACCAGGTGCTGAGTGCTAAGATGCGAGAGGGTTGGAGGAGCTGCCAGAGAATATGAGTGGGTTTGGAGGAAGGGTCACTTCATCCACGTGTGTAAGGTGAATGACTTAGCAAAGTAACAGGTGAAAACTAGCCATTTCCTTTCTTGGTTAGATCGGGTATCCCCTCTCCAGTTTACGCTGAACCCACGCAGGGCTAAGCCCCTCTTCTATTCTGCTGGGTTTCCATGGTGCTCTCTTTTCTTCTTTCTCAGTGCATTTAACACATTATATTGAAATCTGCTCTTTAAAGTCTGGCTTACAGAAAACAGATTGCATCTTGCTCAACCGGTCCGTCTCTGAGTGTCTAGCACTATGCTTGGCACATGGTGCACAAGAAGCGTCTGTTTAATGCAAAACTAAGCTAACCAGGGTGAGCCTGAGTTGGGTTGGGAGAAACGAGAGGTTTATCTGAAAGGTGCGCAGACAGTGGTCACCTTGTGGCCTGCATAAGGCACTCAAACTGTTCATAATGGCTCCTTGTTACAGAAGGAGGGCGGAAGGCGCCAGGTTACAGGGACAACGGCTGATGTTCTGATGTTGTTTGAAGCCAGATAATCTCCCAGCTTCAAATAGGGAAGTCTGTGACCCTCTGTGCTAGACATGAGGACAAGTGACCTTGACATATAACTGCTGGTTGAGAGATGCAGTTATTATCTTCCACCAAGAGGTTACTGGAAATTACACCTCCCTCCTAATTCTGAAAGCCAGGGCCGTGACCTTGTCTCGGGCTCTGTCTTGTTTTGAAGAAGTCTGTGCTTTGGCACGTGCATCTGTTTTCCTTCTTTAGAAACGAAAATAGACTCAGTCCTTGGGTAAACTGTATTTTCTGGTGGGGGAGGGGTGCCGAAGTGGCATCAGCAAAAGTTGAAAATGAGCACTGGACCAGCAGATGCTCTTGGGCACCGTCAGATACCCCGTGCGGTGGGAAGGAGTAGAAGAGAGAGTTGTGGTAGTTATATCCACTCTCGTCAGTGATGTGATAACCACCCACTGTTATCATTGTTCACATTTCACATTCACTGTGCCCTATGTGCCACGCACCGTGTCAGTCACTTTACATGGACATCCTCATTTGTTCCAGAAAACAACCTCATGCAGTAGGGACTACCGGTGTCCCCGCTTTGCAGAAAGGAAACTGCGGCATGGAATAAATGACTGAGCACTGTTCTGTTCCAAGTAGCTTGCTAATGGGCACATAGAGCCCGCGAAATCCT